AGTTTCCCACTAGGCTAAGTGCAATCCAAGAGAACAGACAATAGACTTCTGAAGAGGGGACCCTCAGTCAGGTAAGAGACTTCCTTCCAGAGAGCACACACTGAGGAACAGGGGAGGGAGCTGCCTGCAACTACTCAGGAGAGAAACTATTTTAGTTGGGGAACCTAATTCCTGGGCTGGGCTAAAGACCATCTAGGATAATAATAGACTTTGGGAAAATCTGGCCACACTCAGATTCCCACAAGGCTATGCTGCAGACCAGACAGTACCTGAAGGACTTTAGGAAAAAAAAGTTCTCCACTGCACAGGGACAGAAAGTATTTCTGGTTGCCCACCCTCATAAATGGAATACTTTATGCTTGCAACTAATCAATAGCTTCAGAAAGTTGAAGAACTATCACTAACCTAAGACACAAGTGAAAAGGCCCAGCACATACCAAGAAAAATTTCCCATAATTTTAAGAATGCATCAGGTAGCAACAAATACTGTGAAAAAACCAAGACTTCTCCTAATAAAGTAGAACATATGGCAAACTGAATGAATACTCCAGAGATAGGGAAGCAGAAGACATATATTGATGTTGACTTATATGAAAGGATAATGAAGAAGGTACAAATGATGGAATAAAGAATGAAAGGCCCAAGTTTGAATCCACTAGCTACTCTGCGGAAGAAGGATGGACAGTCTTCTCCAGTGCCATTTCCTCCCTGTCACTGAAAACCTCCTGGAGGGTCAGCTATGAGTTGGCTCCGGCTTAACAGCATGCAACAACAAAGGAGAAAAGGCATCCTACACCAAGCTCTGAATGCTTGACGTTTAAAATGTTGAAATTATTCTCTATCATATACTTTTCAGACTATGCTTTAATGGTTGTCAGAAAGGCTTAACAGTCTTGGGCTTAACAAACAAGGTATTGATAATAAACTCATGTTTCATATATTCATGTTTTCTTTTCCAAGACTGAACTAAAGTTTGGGAGAGGAGGGATGCAGGGGGAGCCTCAGTAAAAGAAAAGGAAACATTGCAGTGAGCAGTTGTCAGATAAGAGATGACAGGAATGACAAGTGATCAGATATACTGCATTTAGGCAGCCACAATATTAGAAAATAATTAGTGCAAGCTGTGCCCTTGTAATCTGAAAAGGAATCTGTTAGGGCCAAAAAGATTGTTTCTGAGGATTCCTTCTGAGGATTACTCAGACCAATGGTGAGATCTGGTCCCAGGGTCTAGTTCACTTCAGCACTTTGTTAATTTTATCTCTCTCTCTCTCACTCTGATATAGGCAACAGGCCCTTATGTCACTAGACATAATTTGTTTTAGATTGGGTACTGTTTTGTGAGTTTTTTATCAGTTTTTACTGATGTGTGAACCATCCATAATACTGTACTATGTCAGTGTACCATATTTTCTTTAGCCATTTTACCTTTGATAGACAACTGTGGTATTTCCATCTTTTTGGTATTGTAAACACTGTGGTAATAAACATATATGGGTAAAAAAAAAAGAATGAAAGGCATAAAGTCAATATCTCCGAGAGAGGAAGCCAAAAGAAATATACTAATATGAAGGAACATAAACAACTACCAAAGAAATTGTAAAAGATAGAAGAATTGAAAATAAAGCTAAAAATGCAGAAGAAATTAAAAAATCATCACAAGAGAGGTTATAGCCAATACAGTACTAAAAATAACAGAAATGCATGAAAATGCAATCCAGTACATCAAGGCTGAAATGGCACACATTTCTAAGAGGCTGGAGGGACAAAAATGCAGAACAGAAGAGAAGCCAAAAAGAGATGGTGAGCTGAAGACCAGAACCTCAATGGTTTAAACACTTAATGGTTTAAAATCAAAGATGGAGTGCACCAGAGCTCTATCCTTTCTCCATACTTATTCAATCTGCATGCTGAGCAAATCATTTGAGAAGATGGGCTTTGTGAAGAAGCATATGGCATCGAGACTGGCATCAACAATCTGTAATATGCAGATGATACAACCTAGCTTGCTGAAAGTGAAGAGGGCTTGATGCACTTGCTGCAGAAGATCAAAGACTACAGCCTTCAATATGGATTACCTCTCAACAACAAGAAAACAAAAATCCTCACCACTGAACTAACATCATGATGAGCTAACATGACAGATGGTGATAAGATTCAAATCGTCAATTATTTCACCTTACTTTGATCTATAATTCAAGAGATCTGAAGATATATTACACTGGGAAAGTCGGCTGTCAGGGACTTCTAAGAAGTCAATGATGTCAATTTAAAGAACAAGGTAGACCTGATTCAAGTAATGGTTTTTACAATTACCTGCTATGCATCTGAGAGCAATAAGTAAGGATGTCAAAAGAATAATTGATCCTTTGAGTTATGATATTAGAGAAAAGTACTGAATATCCCTTCAATTGCCAAAAGAACAAACAGATATGTCTCATAGAAAGTGCCATCAGAGTTCTCCTTAGAGACAAGGATGGCAAAGCTTTGTTTCACATACTTTGGGCGTTGTTAAGAAAGCCTATTCCGACACCTAAGTAGATATATGCACACCCATGTTTATCGCAGCTTTGTTCACAATAGCAAGGAGCTGGAAACAACCTAAGTGCCCATCAACAAACAAATGGATAGAGAAGCTGTGGTATATTCACACGATGGAATACTATGCTGCACTGAAAAACAAGGAACTCAAGCAATATTATTAAAAATGGGTACCCCTATAGGGCATTATGCTGAGCATGTCAATCACAAAAGGACAAATACTTCATGGTGCCACTGTTGTAAAACAGGACTGACATCAGGGTTGGGGAGAGAAGGAGAAAGATGGGTTCAATAATGATTTGAAACAGACAAAGGAGAAAGATGGGTTCAATAATGAATTGAAACAGATGAGGGAGAGAACTGTTTAAAGGGATATGTGATTAGGTATTTTTGTCATGACGGGAGTCCAGAGCGAAGGCTGCATAGTGGAGTGGACCTGGGGGAAGAGATTGTAAAACAATGAAAGAATTTTTCTTTTACTTTTCCAAGAGGGTAGTGTACTGGGGACAGGGGATGTGGAGGCGAGAAAAGTGCAACAGTGAATTAATGGAAATCCAAAGTCTCTGTAAATTTTCATTGAAATTAATAATAAATTAAAAAATATGTTTAGGTAAAAAAAAAGAAAGAACGTCTATTCCTTGGGAAAGGACATTATGCTTGGAATACTGGAGAGTCAGCAAAAGAGAGGAAGATTCTCAGCAAGATGGATTGATAAAGGGACTGCAGTGATGGGCTCAAATGTGTCAGGGATAATAAGGATGGCACAGGATATAGACTGTGTTGAGTGGATGGCACCGACCAACAATAACAACAGCATTTGTAATATAGGCACAGTTGTGGCATAGTGTATAAAGGGGTAAAGGTTATAATCAGGCTGCTAACCAAAACTCACCAGATACTCATCATTAGAAAAATGGGCAGTGTCTTCCCACAGTTCTACAAATTTGATAGCAGATGTTGAGTTAGATTTACCTTGATGGCAGTGGGTTTTGGTTTAACTGCAATATGATAGAATATGAAGAACTAATAGAATTAATCTCTCAGTTAATCTCGGCTTGATTATACGAAAGTCTTTAAAAATAAATGGAAAAAATTAGTAAAACTCTTGTGCTCCTAGGTTTCAAAGAGAAAATACCCTTTCTACATAGACTTCTTTCCTCACCTTCAATCCTTCCTAACTTTCATTCAGTTTGGATTCTTCTGAGACACTGCCTTCTGCTTTAAAAGACAGAGGCCCATAACAGCTGCCTATGGAACTATGAGAACGTAATTAAACAAGTAATCAACCAACTAATCAATTTCCCATTATGAAAATGCTTTAATATAAAAATAAGACTACAGTTTTACAAGCACGGTTCAAAACATAAACAATGTTTTCTAAAGTGATTCTCTCCCTTTAAGAAACTTAAATGTGAACACACAGCTTCTTTTAATGTGTAATATTTTCCCCATTTTAATACACATACAGCTGACAAATAGGCAAAATAACTAATTTCCAAATAAAGGCTTATAGTAGAAATATAAAAATTAAAATTACATGTTTTCATTTCCTTACTAGCTATAAGACCTAAGAAGAAATAATCTTTTCCCTTACACTGCAGACAGTTGGCCACCAAGTCCTTTTAGAGGATTTATAGAGAAGTAATTGTACTTGGCGGCCCCATTATCAGCATTCTGACATCCCTAGTTAAGTCCAGGTTACAGTTTTAGTTGTTGAAAATGTCACACCATCTTCTTTTCTTCACTCGGATATGGCAACAGTTAGGGTTATGGTCTGGGAGAGAAGCCATAAAGAACACAATGGCAAAGTTCAGAGCTGTTGTTCATAGGGTTGTAGGCAACTCAATGGCACATATTGTAAACATATATTCTAAAAAAATTTTTTTAAAACATATAGTCTGGGTCTGCCAAAAGAATTAGGATAGTAATGAAAATATTGTAAGAGACATTCCTTTCTCCTTCTTAATAGCATCTACAGTGTTGGGAACAAAGACTAGATGGTAGCAACCACCATGCCCATTCTATCACCCTAGAGTTAAAAGCAAAATGCAAAAGAATAGTGAGTCAAAGAATTGACTCTCATTTGGGTTTTATTTGTAGATGAAAGCAACCTCCAAAGTAGACAGTTTAAAGATTAGGAAACAATTTCAGTACACTGAGGGAGTTCTAGTGGCAAAGTTTATAGGGAATTGAGCTTGAATCTACTATCAGCAGCAACTTAGACAAAGGATGGGAAATGTTGGAGGGGGTCATTTCTAGTCTGAGAAACCCAATGAAAAGTCTGCTATGAGTCAGTTCCAGCACAATGGCAACATGAATGAGAGGGACAGAGAGTTCTACAGAGAGAGGCTAGTAATTTGCATGAGCATATAACCAAAATTTCCATTTTTTCTAAGAGAAGTCCCATTCTGAATTTATTACCAATCAAATAAAATATACCACAAATATTACCTTTTTACAAGAACCAACCCCAAAATGAAAATGTAAGTACACAATTTTGTCACTCATCAGTGAATTTGTAAAACAAGTAGAAACTCAAATCATAAGTTTAATATTATACCAGATGATTAATTTTTCCTTCAGTAACTTAGTCTGTTCCAAAATATTTTTGTCCAAAATGTGTAGGTGCAACAGGATGAACTTCAGTAGTTAAAATTGTGATCTCTGGAAACTCCTGAATGATAGATTTGGCACCTGCAAAAAATAAAAGGAAAATTGCTGCTATACTAGGACTTTTTAGTAATAGTAGTCAGAATTCAAATATTTTATATTCAGTCAATAATATTAGATAAAAAACAATGATCTTTGGATACTTACCCATACTCATTTAATATCTACTTGATCAATATCTGAAAAACTTTATAGTAGTCACACTATGTATTCACCTCCTGTTGATGCATAAAGTGAAGAGGACTTAAAGTGCTTGCTGTGGAAGATCAAAGACTACAGCCTTCAACATGGATTACATTTCAACACCAAGAAAACAAAAATTCTCACCACTGAACCAGTAGGTAACATCATGATAGATGGATAAAAGATTGAAAGTGCCAACAACTTTATCTTACTTGGATTCACAATGAACACATTTGGTACTGTTCTTGTTATGTGCCGTCAAGTCACCTGTGACTCATAACAACCCTATGTACAATAGCTCTGAAATCTGTCCTATTCTGAACCAGTTTCAATGTCTCCAAAACACCTGGCCCCATTACCCCAGTTACTGTGTCAATCCATCTCATACCGGGTCTTCCTCTCCCGCACTGTCCGTCCACCCTTGTAAGCATGATGTCCTTCTCCAAGGACTGGTTCCTCCTGGCAACATGCCCAAAGTATGTGAGACAGAGTTTCAAAATCCTTGCCTCCAGACATCAACTTGTTTTCTTAACACTCTTGAAACACATAGTATTAGCAGTCAGGTAATCAAGAGACTTATTACACTGTTAAAATCTGCAGTAAGGGACCTCTCCAAATTGCTGAGGAGCAACAGTGTCAGTTTGAGAACTAAGGTGCACCTGACATAGGTCATAGTTTTTAAATCACTTGCTATGCATCCAAGAGCTGGACAATAAATAAGGATGACAGAAGAAGAATTGATGCCTTTGAGTTGTGGTGTTGGAAAAGAGTACTGAATATCCCATGGACTGCCAAAAGAACAAACAGGTATGTCTTGGAAAAAGTGAAGCCAGATTTCTCCCCGGAGGAGAGGATAGCAAAGCTTCAACTTGTATACTTTGGGTGTGCTGTTAGGAGAAGCTTTTCTATGGAGAGGGATACCATGCGTGGAAAAGTGGAGAGTCAACAAAAGAGAGGAAGACCTTCAACCAGATGAACTGACATTGCTACAATGAGCTCGAGTATGTCAGAAATAATGAGGATGACACAGGATAGGCCAGAGTCAGATCTGTTATTCATAGGGTCACTATGAGTCATACTTGATTTGATGGCAGCATCATGAAGAATTGTTTTTATATACGCTCAAGGCCATACAAATCATAGTAACCCTGTGAACAATAGATCTGAATCTTGCCTTATCTAAAGCCATCCTCACAATATCCGAAAGGCTCCAACCCATTGTTACAATCATTTTGCCAATCCATCTTGTTGAAGGTCTTGTTCTCTTACTCTGACCTTTCCCAGCATGATGTTTTTCCAAGGCCTGGACTCTCCTAATACCATGTTCAAAATATGTGAGATGAAGTTTCACCACACTTGCCTCTAAGGAACATCCTGGTTCACTTCTACCAAGATAAACTCCTTGGTTCTTTTGGGAGCCCATGAGATACAGGAAACAATTAAAATTATGGTTTAGAACGGGTGCACCTTAGTATTTCAACTGACATAGGGAGCTCCGGTGGCCTAGTGGCAAGAAGCTGCACTGCAATCCCAGAGGTATTCAAATGGACAGTATTGCTCTTTAGCACTTTGGAGAGATCCCTGACAGTATATTTTGCAAATGCAACACGTAATTTAATTTATTGAATGCTGTTGCCATGGGTGTTGAATGTGGATCCAAGTAAAATTAAAACCTTGATAATTTAATCTTTGCTTCATCTATCATGAAGTTGATGCAGTGGTGAGCATTTTTATTTTCTTCATGTTGAAATGTAATACATACTGAAGGCTACAGATTTTCATCTTCTGTAACAAGTGCTCGAATCTCTTCTCTCTAATTTTTTAAATTTCAAGATACTTTTATTTTTAAAACAGGTCACAAAACAACCTTTTGGACCATTCTGCCCCTGGACAAGCTACAAATGCTTGCTCAGCATCTGGGTACATTCTTTAGTAACGTGTGTAAAGTGAATAAAAATGTATGTAAGACAAAAATTCATAAAGTTTCCATAGGAAAACAGATAAGTGAGACGCTCAATGCCTAGTCTTCCATATTGTTGTATCTGTCCATTGCTATCCTACTCATATAAAGACATTTCAAAATGAGCAATAATTAAGTTAAATGGTTCCCCCCAAATCCCTTAATTCAAGCTGAACTTGGAGTTAATAGCTACAAAAATGGTATCTACACATTAAAACTAACTGAAGCACAAGTTGTTGGGTGCCATTTCATTCTACTTTCCCAAGCACAAGACAAGGGCTGAGTGATGACATCTTGTTCCTCTATTTTGGGTGGATACTCATAATTCTTCATCTGCTCCATGAGTTGCCATGTTGGCCCAGACATCACATAGTAGATAGCTGGCCTCTGGAACCCATTGAAAGTAGAAGTGGCAGCAATGGTGTAAATACCCATGTTTTCAAACAGCATCTAATCATGTACATGCATTTCTAGCAGATTATAGCACTCAACAATCCAATCCGGGCCATCATATGTTGGTCCTCATATGCTAGATGAATAATATTTCTCATCTAATTTGGGTCTCTTTTGCAGCCAGGGCTTAACTTGTGCAAGATCATAAAGGATGCAATTAAATGAACCATATACTTGATCATTTAATGAGCCATATACAGCATCATTCATATAATACACAAAAGACTTGTTTACTTGATTCATCTTCAGCATCAGAGCCTGCCTGTTCCTTTAATTCTTGGCAATGATATTAAAAGCAAAGGTGAAAGCTGATGAAACATAGTGTCTCTGTCTGTCTCAGCTATGATTTTTACTCCACAGTCTGATGGAGAATACTTGTCCATTGCTAGATTGATTACACTGGTGATCTCTTCAGATTTAAACTTCATATCCTAAGATCCCAGAAATTGAAGTTATACTAATTGATATACTTCAACTAACAGATGCTGACCTAGATGTGTTCACCAGGTTGTGCCAAGCAATCTGGAGGACAGCCACTTGACCAACTGACTGGGAGATCTACATTTGTTCCCATTCCAAAGAAAGGTGATCTAACAGAGTGTGGAAATTACCAAATTGTATCACTAATATCACGTGCAAGCAAGATTCTGGAAGATTATCCAAAAATGACTGGAACAGCACATCAACAGAGAATTGCAAAAAGTGCAGGCTGGATTTAGAAGGAGTCATGGTACTAGGAATATTGTAGCTAATATTAGATGGATCTTGGATGAAAGCGGGAAGTACCAGAGGAATGTATATCTGTGATTCATTGATTATGCAAAGGTGTTTGACTGTGTGGATCACAACAAATTGTGGTTAACTCTGAGAAGAATGGGAATCGCAGAACACTTGATCGTGCTAATGCAGAACCTATACTTGGACCAGGTGGCCATTGTCAGAACAGAACAAGGAAACACTGCATAGTTCAAAATTGGGAACGGTGTATGCCAGGAATGTGTCCTATCTCCATACCTTTTCAATCTCTATGCAGAACAAATCATCTGCAAGGCTGGGCTCTAAGAGGAGACTCATCAGGATTGGAGGAAGACTCATCAACAATCTGCATTATGGAGATGACACAAGCCTGCTTGCTCAAACTGAGGAGGATCTGAAGCGTTTGGTGCAGAAAGTCAAGGACTACAGCCTTCAAAATGGTTTGAAGCTCAATATTAAGAAAACAAGGATTCTCACCACTGGGCTGATTGGCAACATCATGATAGATGGTGAAGAGATTGATATTGTTCACAGCTGTAATTTGCTTGGCTCCACAGTCAACACTCTCGGAACCAGCAGCCAAGAAATTAAAAGATGTATTGCGATGGGAAAGTCTGCCAAGACCTCTCCAAAGTACTGAAGAGTAACGATTTCAGTCTGGAAACTAAGGTATGCCTGATACAGGCTATGGTCTTTGCAATCACCTGCTATTCATTAGAAATCTGGACAATGACTAGGGATGACAGAAGGAGAATTATTGCCTTTGAGCTGTGGTGCTGGAGAAGAGTATTGAATATACCATGGACTGCTAAGAGGATGAACAGTTTCATCCTTGAGAGGGTTAAACCAGGCTGCTCCTTGGAGGCAAGGATTCTGAAGCTTCATCTGGCATATCTTGAGCATGTTGGAAGGAGGGACAAGTCCTTGGAGAGGGACATCATGCTTGGGAGGGTAGAGGGACAGCGCAGGAGAGGAAGACCCTAAATGAGATGGATTGATTCAGTGACTGGGGTAATGGGGTAGGTGTGTCAGAGATAATGAGATTGGCACAGGATAGAGAAGGGTTTAGGGCTGTTGTACATAGGGTCGCTATGAGTTGCAGGCGATTCTATGGTACACAACAACAAAAACAACATCCTAAGATCCAGGAAAGCCACCACCAATAACAAGCAGATACATGCTAAAACCAGCCACAGCTCCCATGTCAAAGAGTCAATGGACATCAGATATTGCTTGCACACAGGTCTTTGGGTCAGTACAGCCACTTCCCATGTGGAACCTGACACCAATGATTCAATACTGAGTTCTTTAGCTCATTCTAAAAGAAGCCTGCTGGTTTTAAGTGTGGCACCAAATTTAACACTAAGGTTTTGAAATCATCAGTGGCAGTCTGCAAAAAAAAAAAAAAATTGCCTTTGTATGTGCCCTGGCAACTTTCATCCACTCTGCTTCACTATCAAAAGTCATCATCTGAGCTTTATTACTGGCAGTAAAGTTAATTTGAGATATTTGTTTACAAGGATTTGTATAGATTATTCTCTCTGGAGTGACACCAGGACTCTCCATCAGCTGTATTTCAGTCTTACTTGTACGGGCAAATCCTGTCTCTGTGGTAGCTCTGCTTTCATTACATTTAGCTGCATCAAAGGGAGGAAGAACTTTTAGACATCTT